ACAATACGTTGCACGCCACATAGCATTTAACATAGGATTTGTGATGAACAATGGTTCGCTGTTTAGATGCAACGCGTCACCAAAGATCTTATCGAACTAATGAAACGTAAAATGTCTCATTTTCACTCAATGCTATTCAAATGCTAATTTTGATTGCCATCCAGACTCTGACTCATTTTTTTTGCATACATTTTTTTTCCTGCTCTTATACGATTCGTTTGGGAGAAAAGGGTTTTTGACAGCAAACTTCCGTTTTACAAGTAGTTCATTAGTTATGACATTTGAATTTCAATAAAAATCAAGCTCGTTAAGTAATTTTGTAATCTTTTTTATGTATGACTTTTTTCCGAGTTGATTTTGCGATTGAAAAATGAATATGCTGAGAATAAAACTGTACTTTACACAAGGCTACCACACCCAAATAGAGCGAATTAAAATGTGCGTGAATGCAAAATACATCATGATATTGAAACGAACAAAAAAAAAAATCCAATATGACAAAACGTAGAAACGAAAAGAGGCAACAACAACAGCAATCACAACCTTTTGCACTTCGCGTTGTTGGGCTATAAATATGCCTCGATTCGAACAAATTCCATTGATTGAACGCAAAAGAAAATTTATGAGTTCTACCAAAAAGCTGACACATATAAAATTGTGTGTTGTCGATATTTTTTTTTTCGGTTTGTGTTCTGTTGTTCTTGTTTCGCCCGTCACTTGGGCCACAATTTTACAGCTTGGATACAAAATATATACACACACACATTCATCGTGGCGCGCACGCCAATTCAAAAGATACAATAAAAATAAATGCCACAGAGTGAGACAGAGACAAAAATCAATAAAGCTGTTTGATTTTCGTACTATATATCCACGAATATTTTTTTTTGCTGGCTCGAATTGTTAAGGTTCCTGTAATGTTTGTCGGTATGTGGCTGTGTGTAGCGTGCGATTATGGATGGTTTCATAATGTAAGTAACTATGCCAGTGTGCTTTTCAACAACAATGGCACACAGTCGAATTTATATATTTCACCATTTATCTATGTAGTCATACATCGATGTGGTATGAACATGCTCTGAAGATATTATTTGTTTGGCTAAACGCAATTTGTTCTTTCGACTACCAGTTAGAATGGCATGTTATCGGTTGGAACATACAGATGATTCGTCTCGTCGTGTCCCAATCGACTTTTCAAACGAGTTAACTAATGGTTCTTTTTTCTGCCGTCGATTTGGACAACACGATGAAATTCAATCCCAAATTGAACCGCACTATATGTGGGTTGATTGCTGCGTAATTTTTTTTTTCTCATTTGAAAAAGCACTTTTCCGGGGTGCACCGATGTGTCAACTAATTAAAAATTATGCTCATTCAACCAATGCTGGTTGCCACGATAGCAATTAAGAAACATGTTTCTCAATTCGGGTCAAATTTGTTCGCGGCGCAGTTTTTTTCGTGTTCAAAACTTATCGATTACGATACCATCGTTTCGATAGTGAGGGTGTGTGTGTATATCATGTCGAATTAATTCAATTTTCTTCGGGCCAAAATTTTGAAGCGTCAATTTTATGGCTGGCCCATATAAAATTAATGAAATTTACCATTAGTTTTGAGCTAAAGATATGAGACATTAAATTAGCAATGTAAATATTTAACGACACAATGCAAAAACATAATAAAAACACTTCAAACTGATTTATACGTTGGTTTGGACTTATCAAATTGGCTATAGAACGAGCAATTTACCAAACACAAAAGAGCCGAACCAAGAAAATTTATTCGTCTGCAAATCGCATTTAAGGATATTGCAAATGTAGACATTTTATATTCGTCGCTTTTTACTCTGCACTTGTTCGCCATTTAAATGGCCCATAGTAAATAATCAATTACCAATGAAATGAACGAAAACAGAGAAAAAAAATAAACATCGAATCAGTCTAACCACACTCTAATTTCTTTAATGGATTCGGCCATATTAACTATGTATCGGATTTGGAAATGCCATCGCTGGACTAATCGCACCATCTGAATCTGAATTATTGATTTCGAAATAAATGGCGCTATGTTCAAACAATTGATGAGTGAGCATTTGATGGAAATTAAGGTGTGATTAAATCCGATCTATATATACATTTTTTCTCCATAATTTCGAATAAAAGCACCGATGTGAGAAAAAAAACCAAAAATTCTCACTCTATATATCGATAACAACAAAGGAAACCATCTATGTATCGAGTCTATTTACCAAATATGTATATAAAAGAGTGCTATTGAATGTCATAGATAGAATCTAAGACGATAACCACCAAATGCGTTTCTTTTTTTATCTTTGAATAGAAAAAATTTCTAACATAAATTTAACGCTGAACATATCTTTGTGAATATTAACGATGTTGTAACAATTTTTCCACCGATTAATGCCGACGGAATGTGAACAAATCAAACTAACGAGCTAAACATGTATATAGACACACATTTCGAAGTATAAACCCGTTGTTATATACTTCCTTCAGCCTTCACCTTTCCGAAATAAAAGCCAGTTCTAAGCAGAACTTATTATATCGACGAAATGATGATCCATCAAATCTAATTACGAATTTAATAGCGTGTAATATGGTTTAGTTGCGTCGCGGTCATTTTAACTAAATTGCTCATTTCCTTCTCAAACTAAGCCGCATCAAAAATGTTGAAACTAGCTCTTTGCAAAAAAATATTAATCAAATTTCTTCTTTTTTTTTAATATTGGACATTTATTTCCATTAATGGCAAAAGACTAATCTGTGTGCAGCCGGATTTTAAAAAGTCTGAGATTTATGTTATTGGCTTTAATATCTGCATAAATGAATTGGAGAAAGTGTTAACGATGTCTCTTGTCATTTAATTTAATTCAATCATTCAATCAGATTTAAAGATAGAGATAAATGTCCATCTTTGGATTTGATAGACCATAAATTTGGTTTTTACCGTGTCATATCGCCCCCCACTAGCACACAAAAGATTCATAACATATCCTATGCATAATTATTATTTACACTTGATGCGCTCATTTCGATGCTTACAAATTGTTCAATTTCTTGTGAAATTATAATTGCTGCTCAAACTCATATTCATGCCACGAAGTTTTTCAGTTTGCGCGTAAATCTGTTTTACATATGTATATAACGCCTGGTGAGCTCATTCAACATACAAGCACACCATTCCAAAAAAAAACAGCCGCATATATTTGCGCTGTGCATGTTCTGCCATAAAATGCGGTGTCATACAATCCATTTTACACGGAGAATATAATTCAGACGATGGTGTTTTGATGCGGTTTTTGCGAACTTCAATTTGAATAACAGAACAAAAGAATTGGTGAAGACGAACGTTGATTTTATGGAATTCGCTTTTACTCCGATCATTCGGTCGTTTCAATCATTTCCAATATTCGATGGTTTTGTTTTAGAAGTAAAGTTTCACATTTTACTTCTTTATTAATAATATAATCATGTTTAATTCCTTCGACTATTCATTTTAATTTCAATGAATTAATTCATTAAATTAAACGATAAATTGATAATTAATGCAATGAACACTATTCAATATTGAAATGAAAAAGAAATGCACAGACATTCGAAATAACGACAAAATAAAGAAGCGATAAATATAAAACAAGTGTGAAATGCATGCAAAACTTTTAATCTAAATGGATGGAGCCGATTTATCTTAAACACGGCATAATATATGTAATCTCGTATAATTTGTACGTCCTGCGCCGTTGCGTTGATGCAAAGATTATACGTAAGTTAAGGCGGTTTAATTGAACAATTTCCTATGAATTGAAACGGGCTACAAATCGTCGTGCATACAATGTATGCTATAATTACTGCGGTTGCCTCAGCCATATATGTGTACGAACACTTTTAAGATGAATAAAATAAATAGCGCAACAGCATAAAAATGACGAAGGCGTTGAGTCAACACTTTCAGGCGATTAGATCAATTTTGTCCATATGCACATATCATACTTTAAAATAATTAGCTAAAATCCATTACCAAGGCGGGTTATAGTTATTATTAATTTATATTACGATACTAATTTATTGGGTGCGAAAAATCATATTTAAATTTATTAGCGGATTTTTTTTTCTCGTTTGTGTATGTTCTTTTTTGTTGTTGTTGTTGTTTTCCTTCTTTGCTCAACAGTGCAACATTGTGCATTCATGCTTATACAGTGTTCCCATAACAGTTAAACAGAGAATACAAATTAAATTTTTATACGATTTTAATGAATATGATGAGGCATTTCGTTGTTGTATTCGTACAAAATCAAATTGGATATGACGCCGTTTTGATTGTACAAAATTCAATTTACATGCAGATAATCGAAAACAGGGAAAAAAAACACAACACAAATTGTTGAAATGTTGATTATTCGTCGAAAGTATTGCATTGAATTATTCATGACATATAACTACATCAAATTTAGTAAGCGAAAATAAGAAACACAATGCACAGAAAAAAAAAGTTGAAACAAGGCACAAACAAAATTGAAATTGTTGTTGTTAAAAATGTGTTAGCGGTCAGCATTACCTTTCCAGATTTTGTTAAAGTACCCTTCTTCGTGTTCAACTCAAAAAAAAAAAAATAAATATTTTGTTTAACCAAATGAAACGGATAAAAAATTATTTGAAAATGATGGTTAGTGTTTTAGAAAAAAAGGTCAAACTCAAACGAAACGATTTTAAAATCAAATATAAAACAGAAGAAATGGCCCATTGATGCGATTTTTTACATTGGACTGGCCATCGAAAATCAAGTTTTTTTCGCTGCCAGCTCAATGACACACACACAATGAAATTTTGTGAATGAAACAAACGCTTGAGAAGAGAAAAATAGACAAAATGAAACTGAACGAATTCGTAACACAATCGAATTTTGAAACTTAAAAATTAACTTAAATGATAAACAAACTAATAAAGAAGAAAAAAACGAAAATATTGAAGAAGGTGACTTACCTATCCAATCTGGAAGTAATGACCCCGATAGCGTATCTGCGTATCTTTTACCTGAAACAAGACCAGAACAGAAACATTTAAAATTGGATTTTAGTTGAATGCGTATCATTTTTTTGTAATTTTACAAGAGTTTTTATGTCGCAAAAGCTTGGGCAATTGAGTGAATCGAACCGTTTAAATTGGATCTGCCGACCAGTCGGTAAAATTAACTTCACATTTGAACTGTGTAAGCTGTAATGGCATTCAGTGATTAATTCATGTTAATGAAAAATTAGCCGAAATCGTGAGATTTGCACACATTTTACGGGAAATATATGAGTGCTTGCAAGATAAGATAACCAAAGAAAAACGACGGTGCACGTGTAATGTTTGTAATTTAAACAAATTGCAAAAATTAAGTAATAAATTATTACATTAGCTTCGGCTTAAGAAGTGCATTTACCGGAGAGTAAAAGGCGCATGCAGTGCGCGCACACTCACACAGTTTTCGGAATCGAATTTGTATCACGTAAAAAACGGTGTGTAACCGTAGTAGCTCGGTGTATTTTCAATGTTAAGAATCGTCTGATTGTGTCATGGAAGAAGTAGCATGACGTTGTTCTTCCGTCTTTTCTTCGATATTTGTAGCTAGAATAGAGAAGCAACACACAGAGAAAAAAAATAATACACCTGTGCCATTCATTATTTTGCTTTATGTGTTTGTCGTTTTTATGCCTCGCACCAAAATATACGGTTTGCCGTATATTTGCGTCACGATGCGCGCATGTATTTACTCGCATCATTTAATATATGTGCACGTATTAACGAGAAAAAGAGATATTATTAATAAATACAGCAGAAATATTTCATATTAAAAGTGGGGAATTGTGTATGAGAGCACACGCCAAATGCGCTCCGCTCTCTCTCTCTCTAAGAAAATGAATTTTTCTATAAGCACACACACCCTACGCTCATATATACTATATTTGTCTTACATCGCCTGTATCTTCTTTTAATAAATAGAATTTGTTGAAAATATATCATTTAAACCAGGGTGGGAAGAGAGTCTTAGGGATGCTTTTATTTTAAGCACATATTTTGTTGTTATTAGAACGAGCAGAATTTCAGAAACAAATTAAATTCACACACACACACACTGTGTGTCTTCTTCGGGCGAAGTGAATTATGTACAAAATAAAAATAACGAGACACAATTCGTTAATTTATAAAATGGCCCATCCGAAAATTATTATGGCGTCAAAATCTGGTTTAAATCTTACATTGTGCTTTGTGCTTTCGATTGCCGAAAAATTCAAATATGCATAATTTAGGATTTATTTTCGCTGGTAAATCGTACCGAAAGGAATGAAAGTATTTATGCACTGCAATGGAAATGGAGAACGAGAGAGAGCCAGAGAGCAATTGTAAAAATACGATTGTTGAAAATGCAGACCGAGTTTGGGCATGTGGAGTGTAAAACTTTTGCAAGAAGATCAAGCGGACACACATACAGAGCAATAGCGGTTCCAACAAAACTAAATCGGAAAATATATGCAGCACCACACAGAAAATATTACGTTTTTCGAGTTTTTCTTCTCTTTCAGCAAACGTTTAATAAGTTCATAAGCCAGCAAAAGCACCACTCAGCAAAACTAAGCACAAATCGTGTCTCTCTCTCTCTCTCACACACACACACACTCTTGTCGTTGATTTTTTTCTTTTCGTCTCATTCTTTCTCTTTGCATTTTATTTATACAATTTTAACGTCGTTGTGATAGAATAAGCCATGGCTGCTTGGTCGAATTTTTATTCTTCTTCTGTTCAAACATGCGTTTTTGCACTGTCTATATTTTTTTTCGGGGAATTGAAACGAAGAACATTTGCCTCATGTTTATTCAAAATGTTCTATTTTCCTGGTGTAATTTCTCCATTTCGCTGACTCTCGCACCAACACCAGCAAGACGACGTGAGCACAAAAAAAGTGCACTTGATGTTGTATTTTACTCGTACCACCGTGCTACCGTACTTCACACGAAATAAATAAATGTGCGCACCACCGCCACCGATGCTTGTGTTTATTTTGTGTATAATTCCATTTTATGATGAAAAATTTAAATTAGACCGCTTACGCGTGTGAACGCTAAAGAAAATGGTTTTTGTTAGTTTTTTTTTTTCTATTTTGTTTGTGTCGGTGTTTGAGGTGCAGAGAGAAAGTGTTCTGCACAACTTCAACTTGATACCATGCAGAGGACTTAACACAACGAGACGATAAATTGACTTGGAGACATAGTAAATATTATGAAACATGAACGCATATTACACACAAAATGGAATTTATGTGTGCAAAATGTTGTCCGAAAAAAATAGAGTCTTGTGTCTCCACTGATAAAACCGGCTACTTCAATTGAACCAAAATGAAATGATGTGTGGCTCACTCTTTCTTTCTCTCTCTCTCTGTCGCTCTTGAATGTAATGAAGCTCATGTATGAATAATCGTTTTTGATTGTTATGATTTTTATCCTTCCACAAAATATAACAGCAGAAAGCACAAAAAAACAGATCCCCATAAATTGGCACGGTGTCCATGTGAATTTTGCACATACACACAAGACATTCTCCATACATTTAACTCGGTCGCTTCTCGCATTGCTCTCAAGCGAAAATATAAAACCCATTAATTCTGCATAAGCCTTTGTTAAAACGTACAAAATGTTAAATGGTTTAACTATTGTCGCTTCTGCTTTCATATATCAACACGATAATTCCACCACGAAACAAATAAATTCAACTGCTCGGGCAGCGGTATTTGTGTGTGTGAGTATTTAAATGCTTGCATACATGTGTGCATGATATGGATATATATGTCGATTTGCAAAGGAAATGAACGAAAAAAAAACAACGCATACATTTGGATTTTGCTTGAGGGAAAAAATGGAATTTGAATTTTTTTTCCGTTCTACCGTTTTATTCTCTCTTTCTCTTGTCATGAATTTATTAGGTGAATGAAGAAGTGTGGGTTAGATACTCTTGTTTCATCATGTATGAAATTAAGCATTAAATGGCATTGTTAGATGCGCATATGTTGTTTGAGAAAAACCGAAAAATTGACATTTTGTCTCGCTGCTGAGATGCCATTAAGCAAACAAATGATAAATTTGCGGTGTCTTATTGCATTTTACAAAATGAAATGTTATCCGAATTTAAATAATTTAAATGTTCTTAAAAGAAGAATAAAAAAAAATCTCAAAGATTGTTGTGAGACCGCATCAGCGGCAAACTTTAATTAGATAAAACCAAAAACTCGTTCAGAATCTTTTAGTGTCTCTTGCCAACCCCAACCACTTCGATGTCAGCGTTCATTTGCAATAATTCTTCATAAGAAATATAAGAGAGAGATAAGAATGTCTAATGAAGCATTTTTAATGTGGAAAACATGTAGATTTGCATCCGAAACTCGTATTCTTGTCGCACATTCAAGAAATTTTCTTTTATAAATGTGTACATTGTGCCGTGTATGTATTTTTCATGTGAGAGGCACGTTATTAGACAAGTATTGCATTTCGAACTTTTCAAACGCGCGCGCGCATTTATATGTATATACATTTTCTTCTTATCACATTCGATATATGGTCCCATTCGAACAGAGTGTGGAATGTGTGTGTGTGTGTGTGCTTTTCGGCGTTGCGAGACCATAAATAAAATTGCAACATCCCTTGTTGAAATATATTGTTGCGCATAAACAAAACAACACCCCTTAGTGTTTAATATACACAATACAACCGCATATATCAGAATAATATGTTTTATTCGTTGGTTCAATTTAGTTCGTATGTTTATTTGCAATTTGTGCGATGCGAAGCGAAAAAGGCACATCAGAACGTGTATGTTTGTGTACATGCTCGAGGAAGAGAAGAAGAGCATCGGAGTTCGTGTGCTCCATTTAAAATCTTCTTTTCGCCGTTCACATATTTGCATGTACACACCATCCGCAAAACTATTGCAACAACTATAGATTGGTATTTGGGGTCGAAACCAAAATGTTTTACATTTTCTTCATATTATAATATCGAATCGAGGCGATATCTTTTAGCATTTCGAAAAAGCTCATATCAGCAGCCATAACGAATGAACGCACCAACCAACAACCAATTCACATATCATAACAAAAAATTATCGAAATACACGAAAAATGGTTGATTCCATAAAAACCGATCGCTTGAGATATAGTGCAAGGCTGCGATTGCCTTTTTCCTACCGAATCTATATTTATGAGTCAATTTTTTGTTGTTTCGTTTGTATTATTATTGTTCGAGAAACATTTTCCCCTGGTTTCTGTAGTCACATTTGTTTTGCACTGGCCCCGTGTTATTTATTTGTTTGTACATTCACGCTTAAATATATATTTATGCGGTGAATTAACATTTTTTTCGTTAAAAAAAAAACACATGCACGCTCAAATGTGCCGAATTCTATTGGGAATCTGTCGATAAATATACAGAGGCAATCGATTTGTTCAGCCTTGAATGTCGAATTTTTCGTCGGAAAGCGAAAAGAAACAGTGTAATGCACCTATTTGTTGGTTAGATTTAATGCAACCCAAAATGATAATGAACTTTTGACCATGGCGAGACATAAAAAGGCGTCTTTTCCCCATAAAAACCGAGTGATTCAACAAAAATGAGCAGTACTTAATGGGAGGGAAAACAATGATTTTCATCCAACGACAAAAAAAAAACGAAACAAAACAAAAACACAAGTGCATCATGATACAATTTATGTGGTATCTTCTGTTTTATATCCAAGCGCCGTTTTTTTTCTTCAAAACACATGAAACACCAACAACAATAACAACAGAAGAGTAGAGAAAAAATATAAAAACAACAGTTAAAAGAGTCATTCAAGAATTGTGCGGTTGGTCGACTGTATTTAAATATAAATAAATTTTTGCTTGTTTCAATTCAATAAATTAAGTGAATCTCGGTCTCGTCGACTCAAAAATGCATTGTCTAGGAGTGCAGTAGTGAATAATATGGCTGTATTCGAAAAAAGAAGAAGAAGAAAAAAATACAAAA